GAAGGCAAAAGAATCTTTAGCTCTTTTCTAGACAAGAAGAAAGCCCAAACAAGAGAAAGAGACTTGTACTTATATCTTCGATCATGATCCGTATTTATAGTTATTATCATAGGAAAAACTGAGATGAACGCTAAATGAGGTGTTTTATATAGCAATTGGATTCTAAATCCCAAAATGACCTTGAACCCCATTGATCTCAATTCCAAATAGAACTGGTTAACTTCATGTCTACTTCATGTCTATATAACAGACGGTTTGGTTTGGGTTTATATTTAAGTTACGCGTCAACAGTTCGGATGCTTATGATCTAAAATTTGAAAGCTTCTGTTTATTTTCAAGTTTTCAAATGAATTCGTGGAAACATTGTCAAAATAGGCTCCATAAGGAAAAATTATGTCAGAAGAAAATCTTGTGACCAATTATCACATTCGGTTCTGCAATTTGCAAATGAGGACTTAGGATGCCAACTCACATGTTTTGTTATGTTTTTTTTTGTATTTCTTATGTCAAAAATTGTAACAAAATAAGGCAATTTTTTCAAAAATCGTAGCAAAATGAGGTGATTTGGAGAGCATATGTAAAATGTGAGTCTCACCTCAACTTTAAAATGCAAAAAAGTTATAAAAATCCAAAAAATAATTGAAAATTTCAAGAAAACCTTAAAAATTCAAAATAGTTCAAAACTTTTCAAAAAATGCTAATATAATGCATTTAAAAGCCAAAATCACTTTTTAGTGGAACATATAAATCATTTTCTAGCTTTCACCGCCTTCTTTGAAACAAACAAGAGTATTTGGATTCTCTTTTCAAAACTAACTTTCCATTCTACTATTCTACAAGGCAAATAAAAAATTAAAATTTAGGATAGTTATATATTCCTTAGATTTATGACAATGTCATAAATCCAAAATTCAAATTCTTAGTTGCAATGGGACCTGCATTTTACAAATTCTCTCCAAATCCCCTTATGTTGTGTATGATTTCTCACAAAGAAATCACAACAAAACATCCGAACTGGCATTCTAAGTTACCATTCGCAAATAGCAGAAACGTGATGTTTGGACACATGATTTTTTTCTGACATAAATTTTCCACTTCTGACGTAGTTTTCCACATGGAGCCCACTTTCTGGCAAAGCTTCAGTGGATTCGCTTGAACTCTTGCGAAACAAACAGACGCTCAGTAGATTTATGACTGTCATGAATCCAAAATGCAAATTCTGGAACCAAACTGTCCCTAAGCTTCTATTCGCTTGTGTTCGGAATTGTCTTCTTTGTAGATCCTTTGTGCTTTCAAGTACTCAAAAGTGTATTATGGACTATCTAAATGATTGTTGCCTTATTTCCAGTTTCTTGCTGCCATTTGGTTTATTGACATCTTTGAACTTTAATGGTATCCATTACTAAAAATTTTGGTGTCTATACGCGCAAGAGTAGAAGATAAACTTAGTGTCATATTATCCAAATAAATATATTATTCGTATAGGAGTTTGGGTAACTACAAGCAGGTTCATACCTTTATATTGAGGAAGCAGTGGAATGCATATATGTAATGTATGTGAATTTCTTCTTCTCATCTAGATTTAGTTCTGCTCACAGAAGTTGAAGGTAAAGGAATCTTATGTTGATGCTGGTATTTTTTAAAAATTGGAGAGAAGATTATGTAAAATTACATCACAAAACAAGTTATACTATCCATGTAAAAACTTTAAGAATTATATTTTGTAGAATTATTCATGATATTATTAGATAAGAAGTATAGTAAATATGTATATATTAAATATAAATAATATTTAAAATTTTAAAATGAAGCATTCTTTAATATTTAATATTATTTGATCTTCTATAGCTTTAATAATTAATATTATACATCTAATACAACAAAAACTACTACAAAGCCTTTAACCCCTAATGTTTAGGGTCAGCTATATGAATCATATTCTTCCATTTTGTTCTATTATGAGTCACCTCCATTAAATTAATCATTATCATATCCTTCTTAATTGTTTTCAACAAAATTTTTTTAGCTCTACCTCTAGACCTCTTTATCCCATTAACTATAATATTACAACATTTCCTAACTGGTGCACTAAGCGGTCTCTGTTATTCATGACCAAATCACTTTAATCTATTCTCTCTCATTTCATCCTCAATAGGAGCAACCTCTAATTTATAATGAATGCTCTCATTTCATATCCTATTTTATAGTGTATACATACAAGACCATCGTAATATTCTTATTTTCGCTGCGCTCATTTTTTACACATGTTATAATTTAATTACCTAACATTCCGACCCATAAAGCATTGTTGGTCTTATAACTATTCTATAAAAAATTTCTTTTAATATCATAGGTATTCTACAATCACGTAAGACTCTCGAAGTACTCCATTTTTACCATCCGGATTTGATTCGATGGATAACATCATCCTTAATCTGACCATCATGATGAATGATTGATCCTAAATAACAAAAATGATTACTTTTAGGTATTTCTTGGCCATCAATATTATAGACTCTTTTCTCTTTTTAGTTTTGCTAAGTGTCCATTCCATGTACTCTGTTTTTATTCTACTCATTCCAAAACCTTTAATTTTGAGGGCTTATTTCCACCTTTCTACTTTAGATATTATACCCTCTCTAGTCTCGTCAATTAATACTATATCATCAGCAAATAATATATACCGCGAGACTTCATGTTGAATATGCCTAGTAAGTTGATCTATAGCTAATGCAAAGATAAAAGGCTTAAGGCCTCTATATCATTGTTTTTGGCCTCTATATCATTGTTTTTATGAATATATTTTGTTAAAGTCTCGACCACTGCATCAAAACTTTGAAGTTATAATGAGGATTGAGATTTATAATTTTATATTAGTCCTAAGATGCCCTGTAGGTTGAGCGTCCTTTATATGGTTCGAAGCCTAAACTCATGCAGCAGTGTCAATTTTTAGAAAATCCGATTTAAAGTTGTGACCGCTGGGATTTCAACCTGAGTTGCTTTGATACAATGTTAAAGTCGCTGACACTGCACCAAACCATTGAAATTATGGTTAGGATTAAGGGTTATAATTTATACAAATTATAATGTGTTTGATTAAACTTTTTATTAACAAAGAAGAAAATCCTTTGGTATATGAAATTTTTTTTTTCAGGATTGAACTTCGAAGTTCTTTCATTAAAAAAATGAGTTAAAAGGAAGCTGACCTAATTAGTAGAGATAAATTCTACTTCTGCAAGATAATAGATCTAATAGTTGGATGGAGTTATTTTACAAGATTATTTTTGCCCCATTTTTATTACTACTTCCATTTACAAAAATTAGTAACTGATAATTGTAAATCCAAAAGCATGCAATCACTCAGAGAAAAAAATAAGGTATAGAGACTAATTAGCACACTCTAGCGGCTGTCATAGGAAGACTTCTATCTAATATAGTAGTGCTTACATCCAACTTTGTATAATTTGTATGTTTTTATTTCTTAAAAATTTTGATAGCACCTACCCGCTGTTCTCCCTATACACTGTGCGAATGTTATTATACGTATTGGCAATAAACAAAAATACAGAACAATATACGCTTATTTTTTACGGAGAACAACGGGTACATGCTGCTGAAATTTTCAAGAGATGAAAACATACAAAGTATACAAAGTTGGATGTATGCACTATTGTATTCTTATCCCGTCCGAGGAGGACAGATCCAATAATTACGAATTTTTATACAATTTTTTCCTTATTATAATATAAAGTTAACGATCATTTTTGGGTAGAAAACTTGATCTCCTACCCAAATTTGACTCGTCTATTTTATATTATAACTTCAAAGAATTGGATGTAATAATTGGACTGGAGTCTAGGGATAATGTTATCTTTTTTTCACCTAAATTAGATATATAACACATTATTATATCATATTGCGTTATATATCTCTATTTTTTAAAAACGTTTTGTTTCATAAATCACACATTTTCAAATCACAAACCTATGGAATCACATTAGTAAAATTTAATTTAGGATTAATTAAATTTAGGGTTACATTTAGGGTTAGAAATGATTAATAAATTTATTTGAATTATGGTAAAATTAAGTTTAGTATTAAAATATTGTTTAATTAGGAATTTAGGGTTTACAATTGATTATAAGTGTTGATCAAATAAAGCGAAATATTGTCAAATTATGGATTAAAATTACGATTAATTGCTGAAAATTTTCCTAGGGTTATAAGATTCAAATTTTTTTTACTTTGGGTTAGAATTTAGGGTATTTGCTAAAATTAATTAATAATATGCAAAAATTATAAATATTTGAAATATTTCATGAAATTAAAACATACCTTAACCTGAGTAGAGTCGGCAGCGTCGTGGCTCAGCGACAGCACGAGGCGACGGTGGCGTGGGTCGGTGAAGGCTCTGGGATGCGAGAGCGGCGACGACGTAGGGAAGCACGGCGGCGACAAGAACCAGCCAGAGGCGGCGGCGTGGGTTGAATGAGTTCGTATGGTCGATAACTCATTGCGGTGGCAGGCGAGTTACAGCAGGCATGAGGCCGGAGAGACGTGAAGAGGTACGAGCTGAGAGCAGCAGCAAGAGGTTGGGGGTGGGGGGACGGCGACAGATGAATCTAATGGGGTTTTTTTGGGTTTTGAGTGAGAGAATGGAAGGGTTTTTGCGGCGGGCTAGGGTTTCAAACATAAATTTTTTTAAAACAATGTGCGAACCAAAACCTAGATGGAAATTCCGTCTAGGTTGCATTCTAGACGGAACTCCTATCTAGGATGTGGTCTCATTTTTTTTAATAAAAAAACAAAAACCATCTAGTTTGACAATTTAGACGAAATGTTTCGTTTAGATTGCTGCAAACTAGATAGAATATTCTAAATAGAAATTTACCGTCTAGTTTGAAGCAAACTAGACAAATTTTTCCGTCTAGTTTGATCCGTCTAGGATGTGTATTTTTCTACTAGTGAAAGTCTTAATTTCATGTGTTACCATCTTGCAGTCTCAAGAAGTTGCCCGGGCATTTGGAGCTGTCTGCACACCAGAGTTTTTTCTCTTCAAAAAGGTTTGGAATTATCAGCTGAAAAAGTGCCTCATGTACCTTTTTTTGTTTTAATATGTGAGGTAAATTTAGAATTGTGTTGATTAACTTAAATTCAGATATGACTGGATTTTCCTATAATTTTAGGTACGATTTCTTTGATATTGATTTCCGCAAGATATATATAACTTACAGAAAATGTTAATTTTTGGTCTTTCAGGTGATCTGATTTCCTATAAAAATTTATTTCCATCTATATATCGAGCCAAAATTATATCAACAAACACCGTGCTTCTACATATGATGCTCACAACACTCTTATACATTCTTCCAATAGGACGGAAGGAGACCATTCGAACTGTTCTACCATGGACAATTTGATGATTCTCGGCCAAGTAATAATGTGCCTGTCTCTGGAAGGTTGCATTCTTAATCATGAGATGCAATATTCATTTTCATTATTAATTTTACCTCTCACTAAGATATTCTGTTCGTATTTAGGGACCTAAGTCTTGCAATTGATCGTGTTCTTAGTGGCCAATTGCCCCCTCAACTGCAAAGGCCCAGGTCATATTTTATCTCTGCCCTATTTTCAAAACTTTTTACATTAAACTCTCTTCGTTCATTTATTGAGTTAAAATGTTCTTGATTTCTATCATATACAGTGTTGGATGCAGCATAAAGTGGCATCCGTGAAAGAGATAGCAGTTCTGCAGTTGACTTTTCTGTGCATTTTAGATCGCCATCACAGTTAAAGGTGTGAATCCATAATAAAGTTGTGTACAGAATTAGGAATTCCCTTGATGACATAGTTCTGAATTTATTTGCTTTTGGATCTCCTACTTATCTTGATCTTCGCTGACTCTTCACTTGTTTTCAGTGAAATTCTTTCGTAATGGACAAGGTACTTGCTGATTGGATTCGGATACCGTTGACAAGCATTGATGCCTGCCCTCGTGCATTGCAGTCTATCGTATCTTTTTTGTACCAAAAATAATGTAATAGTGTTCCATGTTACTGCAAAGTTTGAACATTCATGTAATTTTACAAGGCCAATTACGATGAGAAATTACAATACGGAGGATTTTTGGAAAGACTGCTTGGTAAAATTCATGAAAACAACTTGCTTTCATCAGTTCGGTTATTCGATACGTTCCTCTGAATATTCTTGTCGACAGTTTCCTCTATGGTTCTTGGCAAAAATCATTCAGTCTATACCATTCGTGACCATTTTGAGATCCTGGGGACAGGGATTTACAAGCGCTAACATGCATACAGATTTGACGAAACTCTGTACGGCAGGAAAATATGAATGCAGAAGGTATGTCAGCTTCCTCAGGAAAAAAAACCAGAAGAAGAAGATATGTCAGCACGAAATTCCCTCTCATGTGATTCATCTCTAACGAATGGCACTAGAACCTGACGTCTTAGGCACCCCTCGATCTCTCATCAACCTCCTCACCCTCGCGCTATCTTCCCACCTCCCCAACCCTGCATACGCATTCGATAGCATCACATACGAAGATGCGTGCCCAGCATCAATCTTCCTCAGCTTCTCCGCTGCCCACTCGGCCCACTCCACAAACCCACGCCCACAACACGCGCTCAGGAGACTCTTGAGCACGTACTCGGTCAAGGCCTCCTGGCATCCGACGCTCACGCATCTCCCATGATCCTCACGCGCTCCCCCTCGTCCACACGTCTACATGCAACCCGTGTGCTCCACCTCGCCTCAATTTTATAAACTCTTTTCATCTGCTCAATAGAGGCGCTCGCCTCGTCGCGAGTCGCCGCCGCAAGCATGACGCCGCGTGAGGGCCAACATAAGCACGTGGTCGGGTTTTTTATTTTTGTGATTTTTTTTTTCTTTTTATTTCAAAACTCCGACAGACAGCATGCTCGTCGAACAGTCTCAACGCCGCGAGCCCATAGGCGTGCGCCGCACTGGATATCATCGCGTCCGAAGCACCTGATCTGGGTCAGACGATTCACCGAACACGCTGAAGCTTCGCGAGGCCACTTTTGCGTACATATTGAGAAGGGGCGGTGCGAAGGGCCGGCGTCAGCCGCCCGCCATGACTAACGAACTACCAACTGGTGCAGGACTTCCTTTCTTACATCAGAGGCCGTCGACGGCCGCAAGTCGGCGAGGACGTAGAGCGGCCCGTGGCCGCAACTTCGCAGACCGCATGGGCGGCGAAGACCGACAACGCTGGGCGCGGCGGCCGGCCCCCCATACGCGGAGATGAGAGCGGCCACGAGACGGGTTCGGATTAGGGATCGGTCGAAAGCTCGACAAGCAGAGTCCAGCCAGGGCCGACCGGGGCTAGGCTGAGACGACGCGGTTGCACCGCTTGTCTTGCCGGGAGTGGGAGAGAGAGAGAGTCGAGCAGTGGAGATTTGGTTGAGGGAAGGAGTAGCGAGAATGAGGGAGGAGGTGAGGAAGGGTGGGTGGAGGCAAACTTAGATGAGTGGCGTGCAGGTGGGGGAGGAGGCGGGTGCGGGTGCGGGTGCGGGTGAAGGACTGAGAGAAAGTGAAGGTGAATTGTTGGGAGGGAGAGGGAAGGGAGGAGGGATGGAGTAGACGGAGAGGGCTGGTGGGGTTTGGCGCGTCGGAGGAGGGCGTTCCATTCGAACGGGGAGCGTTGGATCGGGGGCGGATGGTCGGGATTGCGTTCCATGGGTGATGAGCCACTCCACTCTTAATTAGCGTTTGAATCGAGGTTTGATGTAGCATACACGTGCTGTGTTTTCAGCTATATATGATAGTATCTTGACCTTTGTAGGAGGACGTGGAAAACAAAAACAAAAAAAGAAACGGAGAAGAGCCCTTTTGTTAATTGTCTCTCCCTTCTTTCCTCATGTTTCTTCTTACCTATTATGGACAAATTTTCAAAACAGACCTGTTTTGAAATTTATTCTCAAATACAAACATGTTTTCAACTTAATTTCAAAAACCGATCCAGTTGACTGAAACTGGGTCGGTTTTTGAAAAAAAAAATTCACAAATTTCACGGGAGTTCAACTCCCGTGAAGTTTTGTTATGAGAAAAAACTTCACGGGAGTCCAACTCCCGTGAAGTTTGTGAACTTTTTTTTCAAAAAACGACCCAGTTTCAGTCAACTAGGTCTGTTTTTAAAATTAAGTTGGAAACAAGTCTTTTTTGTGGAATAAATTTCAAAACCGGTCTGTTTTGAAAATTCCTCCTACCTATTATAGTTCTTAGTTATTTTGATTATAATATCCAACCATCTAGAACGACACTTCAAAAAAATATCTACCTTATTTCGTTTACCTATCCAATTTCGAAGTTTTAAAAGTTTGTTGTGGTTTATTGTGTGACCATACCTTTAATTTTCTGCCACTAGCAATAAGGTAATTTGAATATTAATGTATATGTGCACGATAGTATTCTTTTTTTTTTTTACTCCTCTGATGTATATATATGTTGTCTCTGGTAAATACTTGCATTGCTGCATGTGCTTAAAATTCTTTTTTGTTCCTGTTATAGGTAGCATTCTTTCGGAAAAATTCTTTGTGAACTCGCACTTTATTCACATATGACAGTTTGGTTGTATTTGTATTAAAAACCCTTCATAAGTTTAAATTTTTAATTTTATAAATGAGTTACATGCTTGTTTTATCAACATAACATTATATTCTTATGGCATATGAGCTTATGCGCAACTATGATGTGCAATCACCACCTTTTCCTTTTATATAAACTTCCTTTCAGAATAGGAGTTATTTTTCACGTATTTAATCGGAGAGCTTATAATGAACCGCTTGCCTCCTTTTTCAGACTTCTGAAACTTAATGCAGAAAACCGCCTCTTGCAAATTTATATTATGATATTATGCAAAGACTTTTCTAATTACTTGTTGATAACGAAAACATGGTTTACGTGTGAAAATTTTTGCCATTTGCAACATTTGCAATCTCAACTATAAAACTGTAACTTTCATTGTTTTATGCACCTGTTGGTCATATTATGTATTTCTGATCAACTTTCATTTTAGATACTTAGTTTCTTTTGGTAACTAAATTCGCAAACAGAAAACATCCACACAAAACTAGTGGATCAAACTACCTAGTACGTTGCTGTTGCAATTTTTCCAATGAAGCAATTTCTTCACATCTTATTTATTGTAAAGGAAAAACTGAAACTTAAATTGTTCTCAGTAAAGCTAACTATATATTTATCATATTTTCATGAAAATTTATGACATGAATGACATATTTAGATATACACTTGATCCATAATAATTTCGGCATTTTCTTTCTCTAAATCATGAAACATCATGTTACAATGTGTTATTATTGTTTTAAAAGTTTTGGTTAACTCCGGAAATGTATATATATAAGGTAGAAATTTTATGCTATCTGTATCTTGTTCATGATTGGATAAGCATTTAGTATTCTGTTTGTTGAAATCTCGCGATGGAGTCCATATGAAAGGAGACCAAAGTATATAGGATTCAAGATTGACACAAATAGCATAGAGGCATCAAATGGCTAGGTACAACTAACCTATTTTATAATTGTAAGTCCGAGCATTATCTTCTATTACATGATCATACGTCATGTCGGATGGTCCAAATTTGTCATGAGATTGCAAGAATTTAAGCAATAGAAGTCACCTACTGATAATATAATAAAACCTATAAATAAATATAAAATATATATAGATAATGAGAAGAGAAAGAGAGATATTAAGTAACCTGCATAGGGAAGGATTTCCTTCCTTGACTCTCTAAAATCACATATTAAAACGACATTAGGATACGATCCCTCCGTTGAACTATGATTACAATTCTATAAACCACCAACACATACAATTTGAGGTAAATCCATCGTCAAAATCCTCCCACAGCACATGAAAAAATGTTCTATTTCACAAAAAAAAAAAATCGAATACGAATGATGAAGGTCAAACGACGACATGGAGTATCCACCCACATAAAAAACAAATTTAGATCAACACGCGGGATCAATCCCACACTCAACACACACACAACAACCACACAACAAATCATGATGATTAAAAAACGGCCCAATAGGGAGAACCTCGCCCTCCTATTGACAAGATGATGCCGCCATTGTAGACTCATATATATAAGTATATATAACTATAGGTATATATATATATAATAGATAATATAGGATAGAGATATATAGAATAATCCACACATATATATATAGTAATAGAAAAAAAAATATAATATTGAATCAATGGTACCTTGGTCATAAAGGAGGAATTCCTCAAGACGCATCTAAAATCCCAATTGCCGGATTATTGAGGGATGATCCCGCCTCCTTGGAACTGATCACATATGATCTAAAACAAAACCAATTTCGGGTAACTCCTTCGTTTACCCTCCATCGAGCCAATGTAAAGTATATTCAGTCAAACCGTTAAAATCATACGAGTGATAAGCAAAACGACGAGGCTTCAACCAAACTTGTGGTTGGGGATTTTAGAATATAGAATCAAGTTCTAATGGAGCCGATACACAAGTCGCTCATTCATTATTTTAAGGCGTCATATGAGAATCCGCTCCTATCGACAAGAACCATATCTCTCACTCCTCTCTCTCTTCTCTCAATAATATATATAAATTATATATAAATAATATATATATAATATAGTATAATATATAATATATATAATATACATATCATAAGCAAAACCTTGCAACTATGTACGCCCACACCAAGTTCTAGTCATTGATGACTTAACTAGATTGAACCACCATGCTGGAATGATCCGCTCCGTAAAACCTTGATCATACAATACCCATAAACCCCAACACACCAAATTTGGGAACCGTCGAGTTTACATTCATCCACCCGTATTAATTTTAACGTTTTGAATGAATAACTTTTTACATGCTCAGGAAGTCAAACCACACCAGGTCTTACCCCAACTTTGTGGTTGGGTTTAGAATATAAATCAATTTAGAGCGATCATCCCCTCAATAGCCAATCAAAGTGATCATAAAACACACCAAAACTAGTACGTCCACTTAAATTGACAGAAGTTTCTCTATATAATATATATATATATATACTAAAGTAAACTTATATATAATATATAATATATATATACTATATAGTGCATTTCACCGCGAACTATGGTACCATTTAGATGGAGAAGGTTCTTTTTGCAAAAAATCTCCGCTACTCTCTCTCTCAAAACTCCGCTACTTTATCTGACAAATCTCACTCTCTCTCTCTCTCTCTCACTTCATTCGAATCCAGTGCTGCCTCTCCCCTAAAAATCCCCAAATCCATCGCTGGACCTCCCCCAAAAATCACCCGACGAAGCCCTACTCTCGCCGCGATCTCGCTCGTGACAACCTCTCAGGCCGCGTCCTTCTCGAGCTCGACCAACTCCGCCGCTTCCTTCTCAAGCTCGACCAACTCCGCCACGTCCTTCTCGAGGTCGACCAACTCCGCCTCCCTCCCAACGTCGGACCACGAGATCCCTCCCTCCCCTGTCAACGTCGGACCAACACCGCTTTTTCACGTACAGTTAACCATTTCCACAATACTTTTTCACGTACAACAACCAAGTCACGCGCCTCTGGTAGGGCAATGACGAGTGGTATTTGTTCAACTGATGAAATCTTGCACTAGCCCAAAAACGATCCGCACTTTTGCCTTTTACACGAGTAGTAAATTCTACCACGGTTATTGTTCTTGTTCGACTTCGTTATCTTCACATCCGCTAATTCACCACACTCGCATTGTTTCAATATGAATCTAATATCAACTTCAACACATGAGTTACCTTCCACAGTTGATGATGAAGCCATTTCAATTTAACAATTTAACATATATATGTGCTGGAAAGAGACATAGGAAAAATTTATAATTCGAGTAAAATTAAACTAACTGCAAAAAGAACTTTCCACTTGAATTCTAGAAATATTCAGAGAATGATATTGAAACTGTATTCAAGTTCGAATGCTAGAGGCTTGTATGAAAAGAACTTTCCACTTGAAATGCTAGAGGCAATTATAATTGTTCTAACAAAACCAAATATAGATCTCAACTGACACAAATTGAAACTAAAGACGGGTGGTTGAGATCTAGCCCTTTAAATTTGGAAACAGATGTTCATGTGAACTTTGACCATTTACAAAATTTTTCCCTTGCATCAATTATTCCAGCAAAAACAAAAAATTTATTCATTATTTCGAAAAAAATATTTTTATTACATCAATAACAAATTTTGAGTTGCTGAAATATTTTCCCCTTAATTTCGGAAAAAGAAAAAAATTTGCAACGCCTAAAACTAATTTTGTAAACTAATTGACCTATAAAATTTTAATTTTAATTGACCTATAAAAAATGCATTGTATATGAAATACTAATGCACTGTATTCATATTTTAGACTTGGTTTCCTAATTTTTAAGCGTTTCGACATCAACCCACCATAAAAGTTAGTCTCCAAATATATTATGTGTTTTGAAATTAGTTTTTCAAATCTTTCAATCTGATACTAACTAGAAGATGAAAAAGAAAAAGAGATTACAAAGCCTAAAACTGGTCAGCCAAGAGGAATTTTCTTTTAACTGATTGTCTAGCTTGAAACCCTAAGGACAACAAATAAACTATACAAAAATAACAGATAATAGGTAAAAAAATTTGGGGCTTGATCGTTACCTGAGTTGGGGAGGGAGGCGGCGTTGGTCCGACGTTGGGAGGGATCTCTCGTATGTGAAGTCACCGCCTCCGATTTGGGGGTCCGACGTTGGGAGGGAGGCAGTGTTGGTCCGACATTGACAGAGGAGGAAGGGAGGGAGGGATCTCGTGGTCCGACGTTGGGAGGGAGGCGGAATTGGTCGACCTCGAGAATGACGCGGCAGAGTTGGTCGAGCTCGAGAAGGAAGCAGCGGAGTTGGTCGAGCTCGAGAAGGACGCGGCCAGAGAGGTTGTCAAGAGCGAGATCGCGGCGAGAGTAGGGCTTCATCGGGTGATTTTTGTGGGAGGTCCATCGATGGATTTGGGGATTTTTGGGGGAGAGGCAGCACTGGATTCGAATGAAGTGAGAGAGAGTGAGATTTGTCAGATAAAGTAGTGGAGTTTTGAGAGAGAGAGTAGCGGAGATTTTTTGCAAAAAGAACCTTCTCCATCTAAAATGCGTCACGCATAATTGCGCTTAGAGTAGGAAATCGCACACACACACATATATATATATATATTATTATATATATTATATATATACATAATATATTATATAATTATATATATATAAGTTGTCGGATGCAAAAATTTTTTGCATTGTTCCTGTGCGAAAACGAAATTCTGTTCGTTGGATTTTCGTGAGAACAAATGGCGTTGGATTTTCGTGACCAATTCCAAGAGACATAAAAGAACCCGTACCCTCACCCTCTCTCTCCCCATAACCCAAACCCGTCTCCTCCCCAGTATCCAGGTCCAGGTCCAGGTCCGCTCTCTCTCGCCGTCGAGCTCGCCGCGACGCCGTTCGAGCTCTGCGACATCCATCCTTCCGAGCTCCAGCCCCAGCCCTCAATCTGATTGCCTCAGCCTCAGCTCAGCCCTATGCTCGTCGAGCTCTCCTTCGCCGACGCCTTCCTCCTCCGCGATCTCGCCTTCAACCTCCTTCTCCTCCGCGATCTCGCCTTCAACCCAGGTAGGACCTCTTTCAATTTTCCTCTTTTCTTAATGTTTTCGTGCCTTCAATTCGAATCAGTTAATTAACTTCGTCCTTCAATTAATTTTTCAGATCCCTGTCTCTCTAATTAACTTCGTCCTCGTCTCTTTTCAAAAAATTTCTTAGCATGCTACTCCACTTGTTAATTCAAATCCTTTCTGATATGACTGTTATAAGATGTACGTCGGATGAAGCATAGCAGCAAAGAAGTCGAAGTTAATGGTTGTTAATGGTTAGAAATTTGGGATTTGAGATCAACGAAGTCGAAGTTAATGGTTGTTCTTGGGCTCTATGCTTAGCTATCGTCATCAAGGGACTCTGTCGCTAGCTGCTATGCTTCATCGCCAGTTGAATTTTCTACTTCTGTAGTGAAATTTATAACATCGGTCAAGTCAATAGACAACAGAGCCAAAATATATCTATTCCACTTCAATTGTCTCATTGTTTTTGTTCCAATTGGTGTTGCTTTATATGAAGGCATATTTGGTTTATGTACATTGGGTTGTTTGGCATAAAATTTTGAAAAGATAGTTGCAGTTGTGCTTCATCACATATAAAAAATCACATTATTTGTTTGTTCTCTGCTATATGAGAAATCAAATCCATATATAGAATATGTTAGGCCTTCAATTTGATATGCTATTGCATGTAACACTCTAAACTAAAAACATTCATGTGAAGTACTACAGTCATACATGAACCAACTTAAAATACACAACTGAGAAAGAGTAATATGATCAAAAGTTATTCTATATCAATTAACCATTACCTTCCTCAGGGGAATCTTCTAAATCATCAGTGGCTTCATCAACATTATCTTGTTCCATTGAATCACTAAAAAAAATTGATGAGAGCAAAACATATTAAAGATCATTGCACCATTTTAAAAAAAAGTTTTGAAAAAATAATAGCATTAGTATTACTAAAACAAATGATACACTACCTTGACAACTTTAGAGGGTAATTTCTGCTATCATGATTTTATCCTCGCTTTCCACACAATTTGCATTTCCTAGGCCGGCATTTGCAGATCTCTCTCGATGGCTTTAACCTCTTCCCTTTAGGCCTTTCTTTTGTTCTTGCTTGACTTGGTTCATGAACTATATCTTGAGAACACTCCACATTCATATAATGTCTTTCCACATCTTGTCCAATTTCTTCATCATTGATGAGTTTCAAACGTTGCACCTTATTAATAGCATCCATCGAGTTTCAAACGTTGCACCTTATTAATAGCATCCATCATCATTTCACGCATTAATTCATATGCATCATTAGAAGATAGCCCCTCTTCGACCATTTCATTAGCTAAGCAATTTAGTTCACTAAAACGAGAAGCAAAATTAATTGTGGCATTATCTCCAATAATATTACCATCTCTAAGAACAACCCTTTTTCTGACATTTCGGTACCATCTTCTTAGAATATATTGCTCCGGTAACTCACTATGATTGGTAATTTTAAGATATGCCAAGATATGTCGGCACAGAATGCCCTTGAATTCAAACATGAGACATGAACAACGGACCATTTTAGTTATTTCGCAATATATAATATGTCTCAATCTTTTATCATGACCACAAAAATTCAATTGGAAAGTACTCTCTCTTTCATTTTCTTTTACAAGCTCAATGTTATACATTAAGCTATGTTGAAGTTCGTCTTGAAAAATATAAAAGATTTTTTTTCATGTAGATTTGGGCCATTTGTTTTTCCATTGACCACAAAGTCTTCAATTTTGGCTTTTTCTCCACTGTGCAATGATCTTCTTTAAGCTCCCCCTCTCTTTGTCTCCCTAAGACCCTCTGAAAGATGATCACGCACTGTGCAATGATCTTCTTTAAGCTCCCCCTCTCTTTGTCTCCCTAAGACCCTCTGAAAGATGATCACGAAATCATGAAGTGAATTTTTCCTTGATACATGCATTTTTAGTAATGCATTCATCCCTTTACTTCTTTGGCTGCTAGACATTCCAGCCCAAAAGTGTTGTTTATGATAAACTGGAGCCTATTTTTCACGAATTTCATAAATATCCTTTAGCCAATCATGCGTTTCCAATCCATTTTTCTTAAGAATTGAAACCCAATTCTCTTCAAAAGAGCTAGCAGTCTCGGAGTCCCAAATATTATCTTTGAAAGATTTCATAAATTCCATATTATAAGTCCATTTACCCAACTTCTCCGAAACTTTGTCCAAGATATGCCAAATACAAAACCTGTGCCGAATTTCTGGAAAAACTGTTTCAATTGCCTTGCATATGCCAAGACATTGATCTGTAATCATTCCCGAAGGAGGATGACCCATTGCTTCAATCCATTTGTTAAACAACCATACGAAAGACTTCGCCTCTTCGTTTGGGATCAAGCCACATCCTCAAAAAGTACTTTGCCAATGGTAATTTATTCCTACAAACGGCACAAACACCAAGCCGTATTGATTTGTGTTATCCGTGGCATCGAAGGAGACAACATCGCTAAAGTGTTGATAATTCATTCTAGCAATACCATCCACCCAAAAACAATGAGTTAAGCGCTTCTCTTCATCAACTTCATAAACATAATAAAATAAAGGATTCTTCTCTTGTTCCGACTTGAAATGATCCAACATCATTTGTGCATCATGACCGCGCCTCTTCTCTCTCAAATCTCTTTCATAATTTCTCACATCGGTCTCAATCCATCTAATTCTATGAAAATCTCCGCTAGAGTTTTCCAAGAAGGCTATTTGCTTGTTTGTTGGAATGTTCACCTCTCCAAACTGCTTTATCAATGTCTTCTTCGCACCTGTTACCTCACGGTTTCCTCTTAGAAAATGTGTTCTACTCGGTGAAGTAATTGTATGATTATGTTCTTCCACGAACTTGTAGATACTCCATATGCCAATGTTTTTGTCTAATTTCAAGCGAATCAAGCCCTTACAATTTGTTCTAATTGTACCACATCGTCGAAAATCCAACGATTTGCTCTTTAACACTCCTTTCGAACAAACATAACTTTTACAAATTAACTCCCTATCCTTCCCATAATTTGTTGTGCTATTACGGATATCAAAACCTCTGGCCTTTGCGTAATTTCTGTAAAAATTTTCAGCGTCTTCTAACTAGCCGAAAGTCATTCCTATTTTTGGTTTTAAGTGCTCATCAACAATTGGCACAACTAAGTTATCTAATTGAGAGATTTGTTCATCAACAACATGGGAGCAACCATCTTCAGTTTCCATTGCATCCAACATCAAGAACAAACATCAAGAATAACTTTTACCTACAAGAACAAACATCAAGAGCAAACATCAAGAACAAACCATGCTTATATATAAATCATCTTAAGAGGACAGTCAAAAAAATCACAAGAACAAACATGCTTATATATATATTTGTAGCTAACAGTAATAATGCTAAACTATAAACACTATGATGCGCTCTGTGGTCTGCTTCTGAGAAACACATTGAGCAGTGAAATATATGAATTTGGATTTTCATACCGTAATGTAAATATAATAACTGGCGCTGTTTTAATTGCCATGTCCTTTTTCTTTTTCACTATTTTAAAAGCTCTATTGCTTATCAAGAACCTGAATGCAATGGGCTGTCTGTAATTTTCTTTCTCAACTTTTGCTGTAAACTTTTGCTGTAAACTTTTGTAATTTGCCAGAATTTTTTAAGCCTTTACTAACCCTCTTCCAGTGAAGAGAGATGATGACATCATTAAAATTAATTGAAGGACATCATTAAAATTAATTGAAAAAAATTATAACTATAATCACAACTGCAACTATCTTTTCAAAATTTTATGCCAAACAACCCAATGTACATAAACCAAATACGCCTTCATATAAAGCAACACCAATTGGAACAAAAACAATGAGACAATTGATATATTTTATCTCTGTTGTCTATTGACTTGACCGATGTCATAAATTTCACTACAGAAGTAGAAAATTCGGAAAGGATATGAATTAACAAGTGGAGTAGCATGCTAAGAAATTTTTTGAAAAGAGACGAAGACGAAGTTAATTAGAGAGATAGGGATCTGAAAAATTAATTGGAGGACGAAGTTAATTAACTGATTTGAATTGAAGGCACGAAAACATTAAGAAAAGAGGAAAATTGAAAGAGGTCCTACCTGGGTTGAAGGCGAGATCGCGGAGGAGGAGGAGGTTGAAGGAGAGATCGCGAAGGAGGAAGGCGTCGGCGGATGGGGGAGCTCGACGACTGAGGGCTGAGGGCTGGAGGCTGAGGGCGTCGGATGAGGGCTCGGGGCTGGGAGCTCGGAGGAGGGCGTCAGCGGAGCTCGACGGCGAGAAGAGAGGGACCTGGACCTAGACCTGGGGAGGGAGAGGGTTTGGGTTCTGAGNGTATGTATATATATATATATATGGAAAAAGTGTTCCTAAGGTGACACCTTAGATAATCATCTAAAGACGCAGCCTAAAATCACATCATTGAGCTACATTGTGGATGATCCGTTCCGTTAAAATTGATCTATATATTCTAAAACCCCAACACACCAAGTTTTCCTAAGGTAATGTTTTCCTAAGGTGACTTCTTAGGCTCCATCTAAGATTGCGAGATCTGAGCCGTCCGTTTACTAATCCTCAAATGGATCTCAGTCATCCATTCAAATACTCAAACACCCCAAAAATCCCCAAACATTTCCCACCTCAATCCCAGAACTCAACCCCAAAATCTTTAAACCCCATGTCCCCCGTCTCTTCCTCTCTTCCGCCACAGACCCCCACGATCCCTGGCGCTCAGATCTGACGACACCTCCTCCGTCCGCGCTCCTCTCTGTCGCGCTCCCCTCCTCTACTTCAACCAGCCTCCCCTCCTCTGCCGACGCTCAGATCTGTTGACGAGGTGCCTTGCTGCCTGCCTCCCCTCCTCCTCTTCACCCATGCTTAGATCTGAGCCCGCTCCTCTCCCCTCCGCCCGTGCTCAGATCCGCTGACCACCTCGCCGCCCTCCACGTCGAGACGCCTTGCTGATCACCTCCCCTCCTCCTCCTATCCTCCTCCACTGCCCGCGATTGTCACCACCAGAGCTCGCCTCGACCTTTAGTAGGAGGGTATGTAAGTTTAGTTATGAAATTTTTATTTTGTAATTTATCTTGATTTTGGAATATGAACTTATATGAATTTTTGGAATATGAATTATGAATATGAACTTATACGTAAGTTTATTTCAGCTATGAACACTCCAACAATTCTCTCACGTGATACAACAATCGATGAAGATGAAAACAATCTTACAACCCTCGACATTGAAGGCGAGGAACATGATCTTCTATCTAGAACAAGTTTTTTCTCTCAAGTGAAAATATCCATTATCTACAACAAGTTGTCTTTAAGTTTGATTGAGTATTTTTTTTCATAAGTTTTGATTATCTATTTTTATAGGCATCGGAGCATGGTTCTAGATATGATGAGCCTATTGGTGTTGAAAATGGTGAATGTATTATTGTTGATCCATATATTGGAATGGAGTTCTCTACTCATGTGGAAGCTTATAATTTCTACAATGCATAGACTTAAGGGATTTGGTATTCGCAAGGGTCATACATCTTGGTCGAAAAAGAAAGATGCAATCATATCTAGAACATTTGTATGTAACAAAGAAGGCTTTAAATTTTTAAAAGATAAGAGAGAAGATGAGCGGAATGTAATTCGAAAGTCCGACACTAGATGTGGATGCAACGCAAGGATGCTTATTGGACTTGATAGAAGCATTGGAAATGAATGGTCCAAAATTTTAACATTAATCATAATGGTCATCCATTAACCACTCCAAATCGGGTAAAGAAGCACCACACACATCGGACGTTTCATCGATCTCAATAAAAGATTGATAGATACTCTTGACAATCAAGGTTTATGCCCGTCTACCATTTGTAAGGTTGTAGATGTTGCTCATGAAAATGAACAAGGCTCTCTCACTCAACAAGAATGCCAACGTCATCTTAGAACTAAATGAATAAACAATGTCGGTCATGAGTGCGTGAACATCGTTCGTCAATTTCAAGAGAAAAATGTATCCGATCCACAATTTTTCTTTGCACTAGATTTAGAAAATGATGGTACAATGCGAAGTGTTTTTTGGGTGGATGGTAGGGGAGGACTTCTTACTTGTAATTTGGAGATGTTGTGTGTTTTGATGTTACATATAGAACAAATAATTTAAAATTTTCGTTTGCACCATTTACGGGCGTCAACCATCATCAACAATCCACTTTATTTGGGTGTGCACTATTGGCTGATGAAACAGATAAGACCTTTATATGGTTATTTAGCCAATGGCTAAAATGTATGTCGGGTATAGCACCATTAATAATCATCACTGATCAAGATAAATCCATATGTTGTGCAATTCACAAAGTTTTTCCTTAAACTCGTCATCGATTTTGTTCTTGGCACCTTCATAGGAATGCCTTGCAAAATCTTTAATCTGTGCATAATGATTACGGCGAGGAAGTTTCTATAAAGTATAACAAATGGTATTGGAGTAAAACAATAGAAAAAATTAAAAAACGTTGGGAATAAATGAGGGACAAATATGGTGCAGATAAGAGAAGTTGGTTAGTAAATTTGTACAATCATCAAGATCATTGGGCTCCTATGTATCTTAAAGATACTTTTATTGCATGAATAACATCTACTCAGCGGAGTGAGAGAATTGATACTTTTTTTAATTATTTTGTGAATGTCAATACCGAGTTAATGATTTTATTAAGCAATATGATAAAGCCATCGGAGCTCGTCGAGCCGCTAAACTTGAGCAAGATTTTAAATCCACAAACTCAATTCCTATATTG